TTAGCAGACAGCAGTGGTGTACTTCTGTCCTCAAGAACAGAAGCTGACTTTTAGCATCAGCTTCTTCATGGGGAGGTGAGAGGGCCAGGAAAGAGGATGGTGCAGTTACTAAGGGTGTGGTAAGGGGTAAACCATTGGATTTCGCCGTAGGTATGCAAAGGAAAGGGCACGTATATTGTGAAATGTTTGTTTTCAAGCCCCTCTGCACCCACTCATCTTCCTCTCCTATTCTTTTTTCCCAGAGTGCTAATAACCATAGGCCATCTGTTTATCTCTATAAATCAATACAAACCCTATAAACCCCATCTTGAAAAATAATTTGGAAGTATCAAGCTTTGGTTTTAGCATTTAATAAATGTAATTAGCAAGCATAATGACATGTTTGATTACTGCCTCTCATACCTCTGAGCTTAGTGCGATGCAGGTGATGAGGCGTATTGACAAGAGCAATCAAGACTCTGTACCCACCGTTGCATTTTGTTACTTCAAAATGATCTCTTGCGTGGATCAAGGAGAATCCACTGTGCATAGGAAACAGCAGCCAAGTAAAAACTGGCTTTCTGCCAGATTTTTTCTGTAGGTGAGTAGTTTTTATGCAGACAGGACTTCTGTACTACATTTAGTTATGGCCTTTTAGCCACCCATGAAAACAATCATGAGTTCACACAATACAGTGTTGGTTCTAATTTCTACCACTGATCTACTAGGCACAGGAAAATCACTTAATCTCTCTGTGCTTCACTTTCTCTGTCAGTAATGCAGAGACAATGATACTTGGCTTCCTTTGCAAAGCACTCTTAAGACCTGTGGATATAAAGCGCTAAACAAAAGTTAAGTATTATTAGTTTTCCTAATAGTAACCGGTGACTCCCCAAGTACTAAGGTGACACAGGAATGTATAGAACATCGATTCTCAACCTGGGTGTCACAGCACCCTGGGGTTCCTTAAGGTGCTTTTAAGGGGCCCTGGGATGCCACACAATGTTAGCATTATTACATGTGTGTGCCTGTCTGCCCTTGAACATCCAGTCATGTGCCGCTCTTGCCCGGATGTTCGGTGGTGTTCGCCCTGTATGTGTCCGTGGTAGCCTGTGGGCTACTCTACACTCCTTTTCCCTTGTCGCCCAGCCTTTGGGTTCGCTGGATCCATTGTGGTCCTCTGGCGGACGTCTGTCCCCATGTCACCCGCTGGGTCGGCTCTATGCCGCTGAGGGCCGTGTTTCGCAGCCCCTAATGCTGCTTTTCCCCCCCGTCTCCCACCTGGTACGCCTCTTCAGCTCTCCCAGTGCCCTCAATGGTCCTATCTGGTCTGGCGCCTTGAAATATGCTGGTCTCTCCAACTCCTCTGCTGTGGCCCCTGGTGTTGGGATCTTCCTGCTCCCCTCTGCCCTTTAATCTGGGTTCCCGGTCTTGGGAAGCCGCCTCCAGCTCTCAGCTCCTTTCACAGCTGACAGCAGCGTCTGTCCCGCAGCGTGCTCTGCTGCTTCCTCCCCCGCTGGGAGAAGAAGCTTTCAGCCCCTTTGTCCCCCATAGGAACTGGGAGAGGACCACTCCTGCTGGTACTCCCGCTGGCCTCAATCTGCCTCCCCCTTCCTTGCCGGCGGCCCACTTTATTTCTGCTAGCCAGCAATTGTGGCTGACATCATTGGCTGGCCGCAACTGTATAAAGGCGCGGCTAATGAGCTGCACGGGTCCCTCCTCAGGCTCCGGGCTTCACCATGGGTCTTGCTGCAGGTAAGTATTTCCCTTTTTCTTTTCTTTTACTTTCATTTTCCCCCGGGGGGTCCTGACCCCGGGGTTCCCCCCTGGCATTTTGGGGTCCTCCCTTCCGTTCCTCCCTGTGACAATGTGTAAACTTGATTCACAAAACAAACACTATGATTTCAAATAGGAATCCGTAGTGTTAAAAACATTTGGACCTGCGTGATCTTCGAGTTCTTTGCAGCAAAGGCATTGTTCTTGTTTTTTTGACTACCAAAAAAAAAAAAAAAGTAAAGATTACAGTGTCAATTTCGGAGTGGTGCCTTGAATCTAATGAGAGGTGGCTTGAATCTAAAAAGGTTGCGAACCACTAGTATAGATGTTTGGGAAGAATCACTAATATAAAATGTTTTCCTACAAATTCTTTGGCAAATAATTGTGAAGAGCGCACAGATCCATAGAAAATGGACTGTGGGGGGATAATTGGCAAACAAACCAAACAAATTTGCAAGATATTATTAACAATGAACATTTCACCCAGTTACACAGGCTGGCTCCTATCAGTTTCACTGTGCCTGAAAATCATTTGCACCTTAAACTTTTGTTTGGCTCAGCTTTCCCATCGTTATCCATCTGCCTCGTTGTTCCTGCCTGCTGCAAGAGTGGAAAGAATTGCAACTTTTTTTTTAATCCTTCCATCATCTGGATAAAAAAAAACAACAAAACTTCAACTGGGTCATCACGTAACCTTCACTTCTCTGGAGAGAATTAGCCCATTTTCTCCAACCTGTCCTTGTAACATCAGGCCATGTGATGTGGTATTATCTGTTTTGCTCCCTTGAGGACAATTAGATGAACTGTTGAGGGAGGGCTTTCAGACTGACACAAAGTCAGGCCAGAAATGTACTTGGCCTGTATTTCCTGAGCTTTTGCTACGAATCCTTGAGGTACTGTTAGAACGGGCGGAAATTTGCCGGCATACATGTTTCATCAGAAAATTCTAATTTGTCAAAGTTGATACTTTTCGCAGAAATGTGCCTATTTTGACAAAACTTCTGTCAGGAAAGGTTTTTCAGGTCTATGACAGTCTTGCCAGTTGAAACAAAACTGAAGTTAGTTGCCAACAGGTGATGTGGTTAGGGCTTTCACCTGGCTAATCCATGCCACTGGCTCCTTTATCTATCTATCTATCTATCTATCTATCATACCTTGTAGACTGTATCAGAACCACCCACACCATGCTTCTTGTTTCTTGATTGTGACAGTGAGGTATACCCCTTCTAGCAGTAGATCTCTGGATTACTTGTCTGTCCCTCTGGGTAGTACGGATGAAGTGTGGGGCAGAAGGGCTAGAAGATAGAAATAAGGAATAAAGCATGTGGGGTGAGTGCCAAACATATGGTGGGAAGAGATAGGCTGGGAAGCAGTTAGCATCAAGGTCAACCTCGTACCCAGGAGTCCAAGCTCGTTGTGGGCTGCTGTTGGGGTCTAGATTTAGGGGATTGATAGCTATGGGGTCAGTGGGTATGTGTTTGTGGGTGACTTTAATATCAACCCTAATTACCATAGAAGGCATAGCCTGGAGCAACTGGGACCAGTGCCTTTGGGCATTTGTTTCTGGTTTGCCAGCTCCAGGAGCTCCTAGCATAGTCGTTGTATTCCTGGGTTTCTTTATGTTCGCTCTGAGATGTAATGGCAGAGCTGCTGGGTTCTGAATGTTTTTGGTAAGATGGACAAGCAGATGACAAAGGATCCTAACAGTCTGGGCTGACTACAGCGCACGGCGTGAATGTCATGGTAATGTGAATTCTCCCTATAAATGCTAAACTATCTTCCCATGCTCCATTTTTACTTTCCTTCTAACCTCTGTCCCATGACAGGAGCTCCTAAGAATCTCTGAACTCTATTCAGGGCACCTCAGGGACACTCTCCTCCTATCCAAAAATTGTGTACATGACCCTTGAAATCCTTGCAGAGATGACTTAGTGCTGAGCACCTGGCAGCATTAGGCCCTTCGAAGATGAGCTGGTGTATATTTTGGAGGTGCTTATGTTCCTGCCCTTGCAAATCTCTTCCTCAGGCTCAGCCAAATGATCTAGTTCACAGAACCATGTGACTTCCCTTCTCAGAAGTGATTTTTCTATTAAAGGGATAATATTCCCTGTGGGGGAGTTCAGAATTCAACCTACCTCTGCATTGCATATCTCCAGTCACTGCAGCTCTCGATGATTTTTTTTTGACTTACGCTTCCCAATGTTTTTGGTTTTTTCCCTCCTGAACAACACAAAAAAATGATGCGCACACAAAATCTAACCTTTCACAGCTCCTGAGAAACACTACAGTAGCACAAGAAGGAAGATCAAAGTGGTGGTTGAGGAAATCAGTTTTGGTGTCAAGATCTTCAGATTGTATTAACAATGGCAAATAAAAGAAGATGCTCTAATAGTTTCTATTTATCTGTAATGTTTATGATTCTGTAATTTGGGCTAGCATCATTCAATAGCACTTTAAAATTTTATACCATGTATTTCAAGAATCTCTGTAAGATTCTTGCCCATGCCACCTCTCAGCTCAGTACAGTGCAAGGGAAGGGAGGGCTGCTCTAGCACCTCCCGGCTTCTAGCCTGAGCCACTGTAGGCATGTGCCTGCATGTCTGGGATGTTTATGCAGTTACGAACTGCATAAGAGGTTCTATACCAGACACTGGCAGTTGCAGGGGATTTTTTCCAAAGGCAATGCATTTGAAGGAAAGGAAGTTGCCTATAAGACAAAGTAAACCAAAGCCACAACTCCTGCTGATTGTCAACGGTACCTTGTGAGCAAGAATCCATAGGAGCCATATATCAGCTTTTAATTAAACTTTCAGTTTCTAAGTAATTGCTAAATAGATTAAAATGTCCTGCTGCATAAATACTACTTAGGGATTAGAAAAGCAATGCAGATCAGGTAACAGGGAAAAAGATTTCAGCTCCTCTAGTTTTGTCACATTAAAAAACTCTCCATGACAGTAGGATTTCATTAGCATTGGCCAGTTGCATTGATCGTTATATTGGAGATTTGATGGGATTAAGTTAAGGGAAAAAGAAATGTCACTAACAAGTTTCTTTGCATTTTTGTTCTTTCCTTGGAGCTCTTGTCAATGTGAGAACGTCTTCCTCAATTAAGCGAGTCTGAAATCTGGCAGTGAACAAGAGCTCTTGAACATACAGTAATTTAAGTTTATCAATTCAGTGCACATACGGGTTTTTTGGATGTGTGCTTCCTGTCTGATTTTCTAACAATCCCTTATTTTCTGCAGGTGGCCGTGATAAACGAGGTGGTCCCATCCTGACCTTCCCAGCACGCAGCAATCACGACAGAATAAGGCAGGAAGACCTTCGGAAACTTGTGACTTATTTGGCCAGTGTGCCAAGGTAAAGCTAAAAAGAAAACACTTCAAAGCTGGGGGTGGGGGGTGGGTGGGGGAATTTGTTCTTGGCAGTTGCTTATTTCCAAGTATTAACCTTCAGTCCTTGGAAGGGGGAAGCACAAGTGTTCCCTTCCTCCTTTTGGGTGTGCTATAATGGCTTTTGTCCAGAGAAACATCATGCAAAAATACAAGAATTTAGAGACCTTTCATAAAACTGGGCATTTGGAGTCTTGCTTGCACTGAGCTGATGACAGTGGCATAGAGCAGCTGATGGGTGAGAAGTTCTTGGTTTGATTAAAATTTGTGTGTAGAGTTAAATTTAGCAAGTTGGAGGGAGCCATTGTCAGTCCATTACCTTCCAATACTTCAAGCCAGTATTTCTGCCACATTGCTTCTGTGAGCATTGTGGGGGTCAGTGTTTGAAAGATAATTTCCATGCATCAACTCTTTCTAGATACCACCAACAGGGAACTGCTGAGGAGAGATGCTATGTCTGCTGACAGTTTTCATACACAGATTATGGCCCCATCTCTGGTTGGCTCCTTCCATCCTTATAGTATGTGCTAACTTCTTGGCTAGAGACAGACATTACACATAAATTCCCCCCTCCCCTCTGCCTTGCGGAGGAGGTGTCTGTGTATTAGCTAGCAGACCACATGCTGGCTATCTATGGTCCATGCTGAATCAACAGGCAGAATCAACAGGTAGCTGGTAATGTCCCTCTGTTGTTTTCTTAATGGGGTGATAAACACTATTATCATTTCCCTGCTGGGCTAATCAGAGTACCTGGCCATGCCACCCCTCAGCTCAGTACTGTACAAGGGAAGGGAGGGCTGCTCTAGCACCCCCTGGATTCTAGCCTGAGCCACTGTAGGCATGTGCCTGCATGTCTGGGATGTTTATGCAGTTACAAACTGAGTCAGCGTAGCCAGGTTAGACTAACCTGCAAAGATTTAATTATTTCATGTTCAGGCTTTTTGAATGTCTGTCCCTAGCCGTTATGTCCCCTTTACTCAGTTTGGAGGAGTTTACAGCTGCTGAGAGTCTCTGGAGACTGTCTCTCAGTGAAGTCTTCAGCGTAAACAGCATTGTGAAAGCCATCTCTGGAGTACTGTGTCTAGTTTTGGTTCCATCCTTCAAGAAAGATGTTGACCAACTGGACAAGAGTCTAGAGGAGAGCAAAAAATAGTGGTTTAGGGTCTATGAAATATGATATATGAGGGAAAAGTTGAAAGTGTTGAGTTTTTATCTAGAAAGGACTGAGTAGAGGGATGTGACAAAAGCCTTGAAATCAAAAAAGATCATTATAAAGAGGATTGTAGTCAGTTATTCTCTGTGTCCACAAAGAAATAATGGTCTTAAATAGTTAAAAAAGGGAGAAGTGATAGATGTAGACAAGTTGCTGAATGCAGTGAACTGAATGCATCCACAAAAATCCTTCCCTCTTGCTTATTTCTTGCATCACGGTTGCAACATTACTCCAACACTGCCAGAAAAGAAAGATGTAGGTTAGACATTAGATAAAACTTTCTAGCTATAAGGGTGGAGAAACACTCAAACAGATGACCTCAAGAGGTTGTGAGATTGTGGAATTTCCCTCGTTGAAAGTTTAAGTGCAAGTTAAACAAATATTTGGCTGGAATGGTTCAGACAGAGGTGATCCAGCCTGGAGCTGGAAGTTGGGCTAGATAACCTCCTGAGGCCTTTTCCAGACCTAGTCTTTTTTTTTTTTTTTTTAAGAGTCTCTAAATTACAAAATAGCTCTTTTTTGATATTGTGATATGTTAGAAACACAGAAGCCCAGATGTATACACCTGGAAGAGAGTTCAGTTTAAGTCTTTAGGATACTGGTTAAAATAAGAGGCAATAAATAATACACCAATTGTGGCCCTGAAGAAGCAGGTGCCTCTGAAGATGGAGGCACCCTTCATGATAATTCTAGAAAGGATTTAAAGAATGCAGTGGTATTCTGGAGAAATTTAGCAGCAGAAAACCCTAGGACTTCTCCCTTCCTAATCATTCCAAAATTAACATACATGGTCCTACAAGAGACTGCTTGCTGTAGAAACCAGGGCTTCTTCCAGCAAAAAGGCTCTGCTTCATTGCTCATTTTTCATGTTCAAGGGTCCTGCTTACATAATATGGACAAACTGAACAAACAGTAAGTTACTGGGCCCTCTTTCTTGGAGAACCATGTGAATCTCTTGTTCATCTGATACCTTCGATATCTCTTTATCAGGTATATCCTTTATCCGTAGTTTTGCCCCTGTTAAGGCAACAAAACAACCCAAGATGTATGTTCTAGATTCCCTCTTCTTACACAAGTACATCAGTCAAGAACAGCACATGGGGCCTTTGTATAGGCCACATTTTTGGCCTCCCTTATGCTACAAGGGAGTGACTGTTTGCATGAGTGGGTTTTCTGGATCCTTTAAAAATCTTTCTGGCGCATTGAGGTAAAACTCCTTGGACGTAGTTTAGTTTGGCTCACCATGAAATTAAAGCATCGTGTCCATGGATTCGTTGTGTGTGAACACAAAGTTACTCAAAGACACGTAATGAGCCTCTTTGTCCACTACATGGTGCTGTGATGTTTTTGTTTTTCGCCCCTTCGAATTGCTTCCGCTTTCAAATTGCTTCCACTTTTTTGTGTGTGTGTGTATATGCCATGTGCCAGCTCTCTGCTCCCAGAGCTGCACAGCAGGGCATGGGGTGGGGGTCCCTAGGCTGGGGGGGGGGGGGGGGCCCTAGGGTGGGGGGGGGGGGCAGAACTGGACTATCCCGCTCTCCTGTGGTTCCAGCCAGGGACTGGGCTTAAAACGTTCAAAAACCAAGTGAGTGCAAATACTGATGCAACGTTCCAAAATAAACAAGTTTAAATGTTATAAATCTATTTAATTTAATGAGGACTAAACCCTGTGGTGTGTAAAGGTGCCCCTGGACATTTGCTTTGCTAGCCTTCCTCCAGGCACAGTGAACAGTTTGAGGTTTTGTAATGCATACCTTGTTACCTTGGAGCAAAGACACATGCTGATAAAGCATCAGCTAGCACAAGACACAGCAGCCTGGCTACATAAGGACACAAGTCATTGTGAGCATGTTTATTTTAGTACCCAGCTCTTTGCCAGCTGCCACTGAAAAGGATCCAGTCCTGTTTATTCAAAGCCACTCACATGGAGCTGCCTGTGGTTATACAGAGATCATTTATTTTGGGCCAACAAGACCTCTCACCAGGGAACCACCAAGGAGACTTGGTTACTGAGAGGAGGAGGCACGAGCTCAAGGGGGCTGGGACATTTGGACATGAACATTTGGAGTGACCCACCAACCTCATCCTATTCAGAACCAAATACAGAATCCATCTCTTTTGTTTGGCCTTTCCCATAGAGAGTACAACTATGCATATAGATGCTTCCAAATTCCTTCCCCTACCTTCCTAAGATATTGCTCCTGCAGATGAAGGGTTCAAAAGTAAGTGAGTTAGTACTAGTGCTTGTCATTAAAGCCTTGGCTGGGTGATTAACTACCTCGGTAAAGGGGAATGTATAAGAGACCACAGTGGACAAGACTCTGATTGGTTCTCATTTGAAGCTGCATTACAATCTCCTTTTTCCTGAATCTTTTAGAAATGTTCATTTTCACAGAGGATTGCTGGGGAGCTTTCAGAGTTATTTCTTCTTTGACAATGACTATATTACAGTAACAGTTTGACTCCGTACTATTGGCTTCCAGCGCACGGTCATCTGTAGAATATTAAACTTAACCTTGCCATAATTAACGAGCATGTCAATGACCTACCAAAACAAACAGAGTTACATTAGTATGGACTCTGGATAGGACATCAATAAAAGGTATTTGCTCTACTTTTGCTTTTGTTGAGAGGGTGAAAGCCAGCCAGTGCTGGTGGAAAAGCTAGAAAATCTTCCTCAGCAAAGGGGACTATAATTTATCATACTGACATCTGCATAACAATCCTCTCTTTATTCCCACTGACTTTGGCTCCTGAGTGAGATTGATTGCTATCTACATTGATGGTATCTGTCACTTAACCCTGGTTCTAAATCTTAATGGAGAGGTCTGTGGTCGTGTGTTACTGGGAGCTTTGTACAGGTAGAAGATTGGTGATGAAATATGATGATAAATTAGGGTGAGAGCGTGCCAGTCTCTGCTGACATCATTCCACGTTCCTGATTCAGGTTTTTGTTATTCTTTTGGTTTTAATGGGATAATAACTGGTTATGTGTGATGTGTAGCTGATGGCAATGTCTGTCTGAGAAGTAGCAGAAAGGACTGTCATGCAAGTCAAGCTCAGAATTGAGCCCTAATTCATATATGTGCTTAAAGTGAATGCAGCTACTTACATAAGGAAGGACTACTTCATGGGGCAAAGGCTGCAAAATTGGAACCCTAGTTTATGCCCCAAAATTATACAAGTTTTTAGGGTCTTGGGGACTAAAGGTAGTCAGGGATACAGGGCCCAATCCTGGAAGATACTTGTCCCAAGGGCCGAATTCAGTTCAAGATGGGGGACGAGGGAGGTATAGGAATTTGTCATTTGGTGCCCATTTCTGATGATCTTACCCAGACTGATTGCTGCTTTTCCACAAGCAGTCCCATTGTAATGAGTAGGGCTACCCACAAAGCAAAAGCACTGCTCACTGAGAGCCTGCCATGAATCCGTTCCTGCTGCCACCCGCTTCATGTGTTTCACTTGAGTTTTCCTGGTGTGTGGGTTCAGACCCCCATTTGCTCTAAATCCAAGCCACCCCTGTGAAGTCAATGGAGCCATGTTAATTTACACCAGCTGAAGACTCTGCCCGTGCTGTCTAAAATTCAGGGAACCTGGTCTTATCTGGGTTTTCCAATAGGAGCTCAGCTATGCAGCAGATTGGGTTTTGCTGACCTCTTTATGTATGGTCTGATTCTGATCTCATAAAGCCTTTTGTGGGGGGGTTGTTTTGTTTTTTGTTTTTTACGTTGGCATTGCGCCATCCATTTCAGTGC